TTAGGGTTTCAGGGTTCTAGGGTTTAGGGTTTAGGGTTTAGGGTTTAGGGTTTAGGGTTTAGGGTTTAGGGTTTAGGGTTTAGGGCTTAGGGTTTAGGGTTTAGGAAAAAAAAAGCCTACATCCCTTCAGCCCTGACCCTCAACCGTGATCTATCCCACAACCCCAAACCCGCAAGGCGAAACGACTGGACGAACTTTTCAACTCGATCGCGAAAACCCTAAAGCTCGCAAACCGAGACTTGAAACTACAGCCGAAATGCGCAAACCGAGAATTGAAACTACAGCCGAAATGCGCAAACCGTGAATTGAAACTACAGCCGAAATGCCAAGCCGACACTCCCAAACCCGAAACTAACAACACTAAGTTCTTATCAGACATCCCGTAGAACGCATATAAAACCCTGCGGACCCATGTAAACCGACCTAAACAACAAATTGAACCTCTTTGCAGTAGAAGAAGCAAGCACCCAGGTTGTGAAGGAGCATCGTGAACAAGCTGCCTTGTCGCGCTAAACCCCACCTTAAAGCCTAGGGTTTGTAGGTTGTTCTTGCTTCCCCAATAAGCCAGGGAAATAGAAGGTTAAACTGTCAGATTACTACTAAAGTATAAGAACCCCAAAAGTTTAAAAGGTTGAGTTCAGTTATGGAACCCTATAAATCCCTTTAAAGGAACCCTATAAGAACCCAAAAACAAGTAAAGGTGTGGCATTGGGGAACTAATGTGTTCTGAACCCCCAAAGAAAGATGTTCCGGCGACCCGACTCGGCTGCACGAGAAGGGGGACTCTGACATCCGTTAGCATCCTTTTACCCCAAGGGTCCACAGGACCCAATAATCAGGTACTTAGGTGTCGGATCGTAGTTATGTGGGTTACTATTTGGGAGAGTATGTGATCATTAGGTACTTGGACCCTTGGGGTTTATGGTCGGGTTTAGGGTTTAGGGTTTCCAGGGCTTGACTGAAGGGCTCTATACAAGGTTTTTGTGTTTCAAAGGACACAAACGAAATGTTGCTAGAAACAGATCGCTTCCCAAACCCCACTCCAAGAATTTGAGGATAGAGTCGACGCTAGATGATTGATCCTGACTCGTGCCTTGAAAACTCCAAGGACGAGGGGGATGACGGTTGCGTCCCAGAGGGCTGTGGTAGACCCCGTTGCAGGATAGCTGTCGCTGCTGCTGCTGCTGCTTGCCGTCTGAAATCCCGGAGTGTACTTACGCATGAATACCGAAATGGTCTCATGACACTTTATAGAAAAGGCGCCGAAAGACAGACGCGTGAGAAGCATGTTCAGCCACTCCTGGGCGAGCAAAGGATTCAACCGTCACCACTTGGAGGTTCGTGGGTAATTAGAAATAGGGTTATAAGTCCCCTAATGAAGGTTATAAGTATAGCTACCCTACTTACAGCCCTACTTATAACTACCCATGAACCTCCAAGCAGGGTTCAATTGCTTGATGTATTCATGTAGGTCCACTTGTTCCACCTTGGTCCATGTATCTTCTGTAGTATGGCATACTCCGCACAGTGCTTTTTGGTGTGCATCTATATATATATATGCATACAAATATATATATATATATATATATATGGAGAGAGAGATATGCTACGCACCCCCCCCCGTATGTATGTATGTATGTATGTATGTATGTATGTATGTATGTATGTATATATATAGATATGTACGTATAGATGGGAGGGTTTTGAAAGAAAGAAAGAAAGATAGGTAGGTAGGTATATAGGTAGGTAGGTAGGTAGGTAGGTAGGTAGGTAGGTAGGTAGGTAGGTAGGTAGGTAGACAGGTAGATAGACGAATAGACATCAGTTTTAGGTCCAAACCCAAAAGTACGTACCACATGGGTACATGGACCTTCACCTTCCTGGGAATTTGAACTGATGCTGACAGTTCTTCTGCCAAATCGGAAAGCTAGCAGTACAATCCCTAAACTTAAAACATTTCTGAACCATACAGACGACAAGCCTCGACCCCAAAACCTGAAACCCTGAAGACAACGAACCCTAAGCCGACAATTCACAAGCCCTGACCTGCAAACCTCTTTATAAGAAGTGCCATATGATAGCTGCCGTTGGTATTACACGAAGCCGCTTCTCGAAAACCTGCGGGCGAGGATCAACATCTTCACGGCGAAGGCTCGTCCGGCAAGTGCCACCCAGCCCTTGCCTCAAGTTGACAGGCCTTATAGCAGAATCTCCAAAAACCTGAATTCCCTGAAACCCTAAACACCTAAACCCGAAACCCCCGAATCTTACTCCTATCAGGCTTTATACAAGTCGGTTCGGTTCAGAGTTTAGGGTTTAGGGTTCGGTTTAAGGGTGTGCAACCCAAAGCCTGCCACAGCCCAGACCGTGCACATGGGTGGGTAGGGGGGTAGTTCTCCAAATTAGGCTTCGTTTTGGGGGTCCGTTTCCCTAAACCCTAAACCCTAAACCCTGAACCCTAAATCCTAAACCCTAAACCATATTGGGAACCTAAGAAGGGAACCTGGCTTAGAGAACCCATGTACATAGTCAGTTGCGTACCTCTAAGCTGCAATTCTGTCGCTATGCCTGTGTCTCTGATTAGGTCCCCCAGTGTTTACCTCTAACAATAAGGGCACCCTTGTTCCTGCTCTTTGGGTTTAATAAGGGACCCCAGAAAACAAAAAGGGCAAAAGGGCACTACTGGGGACCCTAAACCCTAAACCCTAAACCCTAAACCCTGAATCTCCTGTTTTGGAAGAGCCTTGTTGCCTGTCAGTGCTTTCGGTACCTCTGAGTCATCGCAAAGGTTTAGGGTTTAGGGTTTTGAACGTTCCAAACCTTGACACAACGGCAGGCGCACATAATTCTGGGCGTAAACGAACCCTGCAACTTGCGCAATGCAAAAGCTTTAACAGGTATCCAGTGTTTGATAAATCCCTAAACCCTAAACCCTAACGATTCACGAGAACTGACCTCGAGCCCGGTTTACCTCTGCTCGCCAGGCCACCACCACCCTTCAAAAACAGAAGCACTTTGCCAGAATGAAAGAGTTACTGAAAGGGTCATTATAGTGCTAATAAGGGTCAATTTGGAATTCCACCCTAAGTCCTCATAGGCCAAGGTCTCCCGCCCGAAAACAGAAAACTTCGAAACAACCGTGTGAAGGGTTTAGCGTTTACAGGGTTAGGGTTTACAGCTTATGGGCTTTAGGATCAACCTTAACGCTTATCGTAACCCGTCAACCTTTATCGTAAGTTAAGGGTAACTCTTATCGTAACAAGTGTCAAGATGCCACTAACCCCTAAACCCCGAACCCTAAAGCCAAAAACCGAAACCCAAAGCCAAGGTGCCAAGCTTCTGCAATCATGGCCAACACCTTCTCGGCCTGTTGCTCAAAGCCTCCCCTCTGTGCTTGCCACCTCGGCTCTTCTTAATACCCTAATAAACCCTAAAACCCTAAACCCTAAAACACTAAACCCTAGACCCTAAAACCCAAAACCCTGAACCTAGCCACCTCGGCTCTTCTAAATACCCTAGCAAACCCTAAAACCCTGAACCCTTACTAAAATCTAATATCCTAAACCCCAAACCCTAAACCCTACTTGGAGGCCCAGGGGACTTAGTAAGTCGGTTATAAGTGGGGTTATAATTGGGGGGTAACTCCAGCTAGGGAACTTATAACTCTACTTATAACCTACTTACTAAGTCCCCTGGCCCTAAACCCTAAACCCTAAACCCTAAACCCTAAACCCTAAACCCTAAACCCTAAACCCTGGGCCTCCAAGTA